TGTGAAGGAACAAAAAAGTTAAGTTGGGAATGAGCCTGGTGATCACCTAAGTATCTACCTCTTACCAGTGGAGACACAAGAAATCAGGAATTATCTCTCATTGTTGAGGTCCCATTGTAACCTCATTTGCTCGGGGAATCCACAGGGAAATGTTCCATTGTGTTTTTCTCATATGTGTGGCCCATAGATACAGATTCTGAAGGTAAATAGAAAACACACACTCACACATAGAGTGTGGGATGTCTACTCAATGGTGGGGTCGTGGGGTCGTGGATAGCCAGTTTTGGTAGATGGTATTACTGTTCCCAACTATTCACTTTCTCCCCTGTAAGATGACTGTACATCCAGCCCTTAACTAATATGACTTCAGTGCCTCCCAATAGGCCGGGTCCATATGATTTGCTTTGGTCAGTGGAATGCAAGTGGATGTGATGTACTCAATGTGAGCTAAAGCTTTAACTGTTCTTGCTTAGATTGTCCCTACCCTTTGCCAAAAGAGCTACAGAAACCAAACAGGGGCTGTGCTGGTTAAACTCTTTGCTAATCTTTCCATGTCAGTACAATAAATTCACCTCATTCAAAATGAATTTTTAAAAATATACATATATATATACATATATATACATATATATATAGGTCTATAGTATGGTGTCCCATAATAGAGTCCTTCCCCATCTTGATGAACATTTATGAAGTTATTTCAAATTTTTCACTATTAATGCCACCTGATAACTTGAACTCATTGTGCCAGGCCATGTGCTGAGCACTTTACATGTATATTATTTTCTCTGTTCCTCACAACAATGACACAGGGTAAGTAATATTCTATTCCTCATTTTACAGATGAGAAAATTGAGCCACAAAAATATTAAGTTGCCTGAGGTCAGAAAAGTAGTTGGGGGTAGAGTCCGCATAGTCCGGATCCAGCACCTAAGCTATACCTCAAACAATGCTACAATAAACATCTTTGTTTATACACATGTGTAACTATTTCTGTAGGAAATCCTGGAAGGGAATTGGTGGTAAAAGGAACTCACAGTTTTGATAAACTTGTTCCACATGAAAGCTTAATTAATTTATCTTCCACCCACAGTAGATGAGCATGCCCACTTCCATCACTTCTCCAATTCTGAATATGACCAATCTTTTTGTTTCGTTTTGTTTCCAATCTGATGAGAAAAACAGATATCACATTACCTAAAATTTCTTTGGTTACATGTCTGATTGAAGATCATTTTATAAACTAATTGGCCATTTTTAGGTCCTTCTTTTTTGAATGGCCTGTTCATATCCTTTCTTATTTTTCTATTGTCTTGTATTTTTAAAATAGTTGTGTGAAGCTCTTCACACATTTTGAATTTTAATCTTTTGTTGAATTCCTTATTTAGTATTATTTATATTCAGAAGTTTTGAATTTGCATGTGTAAAACTTTTCCTTCAGTGTTCTTGTATTTGTCTCTTACTTATAAATGTCTTCCTTTTCTCACAGATTATACAAATATTTTCTTATATTTTCTCCTAGTAGTTCTCTAGTTTTGTTTTTTATATCCATCTCTGGAATTTGATGCAGTACAAAGGCAGAACATAACTTTAACTTTTTCCCCAAATAGATAATAGACATCATTTATTGATAATTCATCTTTTCTTATAATGATTTGAAACAGCATCTTAATTGCAAACTGAATTATTTTATATAAATGAGGCTATCATTTTACACAATACCACACTGTTTCAATCAATATAATGTTTGTTTTTAAATTTTTCTTTTCAATTTTTGTCTTCCTTTTAATTTTTTGACGCATTTTCTTTTTCAGTATTCAATATAAAATTGAGAATCAACTTATCAAGGTCCATAAAAAATTCAACTGAAATTTTGATTGGATTGCCAATTAATGTTGGGAGACTGGCAAACAATAATTTGTACAATACTAAGATTCCCTATCTGGGAACAAGATATTTATCCAATTCATATTTTATGTCTTTTAGTCAGGTTTTACTGTTTTCTTCAAATAGGTCTTGCATATTACTTTTTTGTTTATTCTTAGGAACTGTTTAGCTTTTCCTGCTATTGTTAATGGGATCTTTTATTCTATTACTTTTTTAAATTGGTATATGGGAAAAACATCAATTTGCATATGTTGATCTTATATTCTGCCCCTTCTTTGAACTCTGTTTTTAGTACAAATAGTTATTCTGTTGATTCTTCTAGATTTTAAAAATTTCCAACTGTAAAAATGTTACTGCATGTTACTGTGACCTTTAGTATATGGTTTAAAAGGTAAAATAAATGTGTTTTCAGAGTGAGAATGAGTCGGTTATGCATAACAGAACCATAGAAAACCATTAAAAGATACTGGCATATATGGGGTCAGAGAGGATAAATACCAACCATCTTATTTTTGGTACTACCAGCCATAAAATTGTAGGCTATGCAGACTTCCAGTTTGCCCCAAGACGATGAGTCCAACTTCTAATATATCTCAACTTATTTATCTATTAATTATTTTAAAGTTTACATACAGCAAATTCACTCTTTTTTTTGGTTTACTGTTTTATGAGTTTTAAGAATGCACAGATTCCTATAACTACCACCACAAGCAGGGTAAAGAACAATTTTAATACTCCTTAATCAGTCTCTCAACCCACCCCTAACTCCTAGAAACCATTGATCTCTTCACCATCACTTTAGTTTTATATTTTCCAGAATGTCACATAAATGGAAATATATGGTATGTAGCTTTTTGAGACTGGCTCCTTTCACTTAGCATAATGCATTTCAGATTCATCCATGTTGTTTGTGTATTAATAGTTTACTCCTTTTTACTGAGGAGTAGCACTCCATTGTATGAATACACCACAATTGTTTATCCATCTGTTGAAGGACCATTTTGGGTTGTCTTCAGTTTTTGACAGTTATGAATAGTACTGCTATGAACATTTGTGTACAAGTTTTTGTGTGGACATGTGTTTTCATTTCTCTAGGCTAAATACATAGAAAGTAGAATTGCTGGGTCACATTGTAGGTATGTGTTTAACTTTATTAGAAACTATCAAAATATTTTCATGAATGATCATTACATTTGCATTCTCACAATCTATGTAGGAGAGTTCCAGTTGCTTTAGATCCTTACCAGCACTGGGTATTGTCATTATTTTTAATTTTAACCATTACAATAGGTGTCCAAGAGTTTCCCATTTGGTTTTCATTTTCATTTCCATAATGACTAATGGGTTCGTCATGTGTTTTTTGTCATCCATATATCTCCTGAAGTGAAGTGTCTGTTCAAATCTTTTGCGCCCTTTTTTTAAGTTGTATTTTTTTTCATGTTTTAAGAGTTCTTTATATATTCTAGGTAAACATGATGTATGTCATGTATGATTAGTAAACTTTGTCAGATGTATGATTAGTAAACTTTTCTCCCAGTCCATGGCTTGTCTTTTCATTCTCTTATTGTCTTTTGAGGAGAAAAGTTTGAAGTTTTAACAAAGTCTAATTTATCAATTTGTTCTATGGATTATGCTTTCGGTTTTGTATCCAAGAAATCTTTGCCCTACCCAAGGTCATGAAGATTTTCTCCTATATTTTCTTCTAAGAGTTTTATAGTTTTACATCTCACATTTAGGTTTATTATCCATTTTGAATTCATTTTCTATACAGTGTGAGATGTAGGTCAAGTTTCACTTTTTTTTTTTTTTGCATATGGATGTCTAATTTTTCCAGGATCATTTGTGCAAAAGACTGTCCTTTCTCCATTGAATTGCCTCTGTACCTTCATTAAAAATCAATAGACTGAATTTATGAAGGTCTATTTCTGGAGTCTATTCTGTTCCACTGATCGTGTCTATCCTTTCACCAATACCACCGTCTTCTTTACTGTCGCTTTATGATATATCTTAATGTCTTAATGTGTAATGTGAGTCTTCGAACTGGTTCTTGCCCTTCAAAATTGTTTTGTCTACTTTAGCTTCTTCACATTTCCATATGAATTTTAGAATCATCTTTTCTATATTTGCAAAAAATTCTGCTGGGATTTTAATTGGGATTGCATTAAATCTTTATATCAACTTAGGGAGAATTGACATCTTAACTATATTGAATTTTTCCATCAATGAAAAGGGTACATCTCACCATTCATTTAGGTCTTCTCTGATTTCTTTCATCAACGTTTTTTGATTTTAAAAATAAAGATCCTGCATATCCTATTATAATTATACCTAGTGTTTCATTTATGATGAGCTATTGGTACTGCTTTTAACTTTTGGATTCCAATTGTTTATTACAAGTATACGGAAATGGAAGTTGATTTTTGTATGTTGACCTTTTTTATACTGTGACCGTGCTAATCACTTGTAAGTTCTAGTAGCTTCTGTGTAGATTCCAGTTTCTGGATTCTCTATGGTGTCCTATTAATCCATTTGGCTATTTTTTTTTATTACTTAAAGAATTTTTATTTATTTACTTGGCTGCACACAGTCTTAGTTGCAGCACACAGAATCTTCGTTGAGGCATGTGGGATCTAGTTTCCTGACAAGGGATCGAACCCAGGCCCCCTGCATTGGGAGCACAGAGTCTTAACTGCTGGACCACCAGGAAAGTCCCCATTTGATTATTCTTATACCAACACAACACAATTGTAGCTTAGTACAGTTAGTCTTCCATCTTGTTTTTTTTTTAATGAAGAGAATTATTGAAAAAAATGTTTTTTAAGATTCCATTTTTTTAGACTTTATTTTTTTAGAGCAGTTTTAGCTTCACAGCTAAATTGAGAGGTACAGAGATTTCCCATGTACTCCCAGCCCCTACACATGCACAGACTACCAAATCGTCAACATCCCCCACCAGAATGGTACATCTGTTACAATCAAAGAACCTACATTGAAACATCATTATCACCCAAAGTCCATAGTTTACATTAGGGCTCACTCTTGGTGTTGTATATTCTATGGGCTTGAACAAATATAATAACATGAATCCACCATTATAGTATGATACAGGGTATTTTCACTGCCCTAAAAATCCTCTGTGTTTCACCTATTCATCCCTCCCTCCCCTCAAACCCCTGGCAACCACTGATCATTTTACTATCTTCACAGTTTTGCATTTCCCAGAATGTTATATAGCTGGAATCATATATATGTCGCTGTATTAGTCAGGGTTCCCCAGAGAAATAGAACTAATAGGATATATAGATATATTAAGAGAATTATTATGAGGGATTGGTTCACTGATTACAGAATCTGAGAAATCCCATGATCTGCCATCTGCAAGCTGGAGCACAGGAAGGCCAGTGGCATAGTTCCAATGCAAAATTTGAAAGCCTGAGAACCAGGGAAGCCAATGGTTTAAGTCATAGTCCAGTTCAAAAGCCCAAGAACCAGGAGCGACCATGTGTGAGGGCAAGAGAAGATGGATGTCCCAGCTCAAGTAGAGACCAAATTTGCCCTTCCTTCACCTTTTTTTTCTATTCAGGACCTCAGTGGATTGGATAATGCCCACCCACATTGGTGAAGGTGATCTTCTTTACTCAGTCTGCCAATTCAAATGCTAAATCTCATCTAGCAACACCCTCACAGACACACTCAGCTATCTGGGCATACCTTACTCCAAGGTAAGTAAGTAAGTCAAGTTGACACATAAAATTAACCATCATAGTAGCCTTTCCATTTTAGTTTCTATCACTTAGTAAGCTGCATTTGAGTTTCCTCCATACCTTTTCATGGTTTGGTAGCTGATTTCTTCTTAACACTGAATAATACTTTGCTGTCCAGATGCACCATTCGCCTACTGAAAGACATCCAAGTAGCTTCCAAGTTCTGGAAATTACAAATAAAACTGCTGTAAATGTCTGTGTCCACAAAAGACTCCAAAGACCCAAAACAACTTTGAGAAAAAAGAACAGAGCTGGAGGCATTACACATCCTGATTTCAAACTACATTAAAAACCTATAGTAATCAAAGCAGTATGATATTAGCATAAAAACAGACACATAGACCAAAGGAAGAGGGTCGAGAGCTAGAAATAAACCCATACATATACAGTTAACTAATCTTTGACATCGGTGCAAGAACATAAAATGGGAAAAGGACAGTATCTTCAACAAATGGTGTTGGGAAAACTAGATATCCACATTGCAAAAGAATGAAATTGTACCCCTACCTTACACCACTCACAAAGCTAACTTGAAATGGATTCAAGACTGAAATGTAAGACCTGAAACCATAAAACTCTTAGAAGAGAAAACATAGGGAAAACTCCTTGACATTGGTATTGGCAATGATGTTTTTTAGATGATCCAAAAGCACAAGCAACAAAAGCAAAAATAAACAAGAGGGACTACATCCAACCAAAAAGCTTCCGTATAGAAAAGGAAACAATCAAGAAAATGAAAAGACAACCTATAGAATGGGAGAAAATATTTGCATCATATATCTGATAAGGGGTTAATATCTAAAATATATGAGAAACTCAGGCAGCTCACTAGCAAGAAAACAAATAATCTGATTTTTAAAATGGGCAAAGGACCCGAATAGACATCTTTCCAAAGAAAATATACAAATGGCCAACAGGTACATAAAAAGGTGCTCAACATCAATAATCATCAGGGAAATGCAAATCAAAACCACAATGAGATATCACCTCACACCTGTTAGAATGGCTATTATCAAAAGAAATATATGTAAGAAATAACAAATGTTGGCAACGATGTTGAAAAGGGGAACTCTTGTACGTTGTTGGTGGGAATGTAAATTTGTACTGCTATTGTGGAAAACAGTATGAAGGTTCCTCAAGAAATTAAAAATAGAACTGTGATAAGATCCAGAAATCCCACTTCTGAGTATGTATTTGAAGGAAGCAAAATCAGTATCTGGAAGAGATATGTGCACCTCCATATTCATTACAGCATTATTCACGATAGTCAAGATATGAAAATAGCCTAAATGTCTGCCAACAGATGCATGGATAAAGAAACTGCATTATACATACATACAATAGAATATTACTCAACCATAAAAAGGAAATCCTGTCATTTGTGACAACATAGATGAACCTAGAAGCCATTAGGCAAGGTGAAATAAATCAGAAGGGAAAAACAAATACTGTATGCTATCACAAATAGTATGATGTGGAATTATTTTATGTGGAATCTGGAAAAAAAAGTTGAGCTCATGTAAACAGTAGAATGGTGGTTACCAGGGGCTAGAAGGTAAGGGAAATGAAAAGATGTTGGTCAAAGAGTATAAACTTTCAGTTATAAGATGAATAAGTTCTGAGGATCTAATGTACAGCATGGTAACTATAGTTAATAATGCTGTATTGGATACTTGAAATTTGCTAAGGAAGTAAATGTTAAGCATTCTCACCACACACACACAAAAGGTAACTGTGTTAGGTGATGGATCTGTTAATTAACTTGATTGTGATAATCATTTCACAATGTATAAATGTAGCAAGTCATCGTGGTGTACACTTTAAATATATATAATTTTACTTGTCAATTATACCTCAGTTAAGCTGTGGTAGGGGCATGGAAATCTGAGTGCAAAACTTATGAATGCACATAAGTTTTCAACTCCTTTGGGTAAATACCAAGACTCAGGATTGCTGGAGGGTTGGACGCATGGTAACAGTATGTATAGTTTGTAAGAAACCTCCAAAGTGGCTATACCATTTTGCATTCCCACCAGCAATGAAAGAGTATCTGTTGCACCAAATAGCCTTGCCAGCATTTGGTGTCATCAGTGTTCTTGGTTTCTGGCCATTCTCATAGGTGTGTAGCGTTACCTCATTGTCACTTTAATTTGCATTTGCCTGATGACATATGATGTGGAACATCTTTTCATATGCTTATTTGCCATCTGTATATCTTCTTTGGTGAGCTTTGTTCTTTTTCAGGTGTCTTGGCTAAGATTTTAAAATCAGCTACACACATACAGACAGACACAGACACACACACACAGTTCTACACATTGAGATTTTGACTGGCATTGCATTGAATCTGAAGACTAAATTGCAGTGACCTGACATACTTGTAATATTGATTCATAACTCATAAACATGGTATCTCACTCCATTAATTTAGGTCTCTTTAATTTTTTCCAATATTTTTTCCCACTTTCTGCATAGAGGACTTGTATATTTTTGTTAGGTTTATTCCCAGGAGTTTAATATTTTGATATGGTATTTTTAAAATTTTCACTTCATATTCTTTTTAAAACACTATTTGCTGTCTAAAACAATAATACTGTCAATGTATTATGGGGTTCATAACATGTTAAAGTAACATATATGACAATGATAACACAAAATTCAGAAAAGATAAATAAAATTATAATTATACTGTTGTAAGGCTCTTACGTTGTTTGTGGAGCTATTGAGTGCTAATTCAAGACAGATACTAATAAATTAAAGATCTATATTGTAATCATTAGAGTAATTAGTAAATATATAGGAAATATATGTAAAAAGACAATAAAAGAGGGAAAATGGAGAACTAAAACATGCTTGAATAAGCTAAAGAAAGCTGGAAAGGAGGAACAAAGAAACAAGTAACAGATGGTAAAAATTAAAAAACAAATATGGTATACTTAAAGCTAACCATATCAGTAATCACAATAAATTTAAATAGACTAATCACTCTTTAAAAGAAAAAGATTGTCAGACTATTTTTTTAAAAAGACCCAACAATATCTTGCCTACAAGATACACACTTAAATATAATTGATTTAAATATAAGTAATTGGAAATAAAACATGGGAAATGATAGTCCATGAAAACAGTAACCATATGAAAACTAATGTGGCTATACTATTAATGGTCAAAGTATATGTTAAGGAAGAAGTAACAGAGAAAAAAAGGAAATTAATAATAATTAGAAGATTAATTCCATAGAAGAAATACATAATCCTAAGTGTGTATGCACCTAATACATAATCCTAAACGTGTATGCACCTAATAATATAATAACGTCAAAATTTATGAAGTAAACAATTGACAGAACTGTATGGGAAAGACCAATCTAGAATCAGAGTTAGAGATTTTAACATACCTCCTCAGTAATCAATAGAACAGGCAGACAAAGTATTAGTAAGGATATAGAACATTTGAGCAACAATACCAAGCAACTTAATTCACACTTGTAGAAAACTATACTTAAGAACTGTAGGTTACACCATCTTTTCAAATGCATATGGAACATTCAACAAAATATATGCTGAACCATAAAACTAGTAATCAATTTCAAAGGATTACAATTATACAAAATATGTTCTTTAACCACAGAAAAATTAAACTGGAAATCAATAGCAATAAGATCTTTTATGGAACCAAAACTTGGGTCCACTCGCCTGCGAGCAGTAAAGCCAATCTACTGACACCAGATTGTGGTGAAGGAAAGTGCAGCATTTATTTTAAGGCACCATGTAATGAACATGGGACAACTAGTGCTCAAGCCTGAACTCCCCAATGGGTTTCAGCAAGGCATTTTTAAAGGCAAGGTGAGGGAGGGGCATCCCAGGGTATGTGATGAGCTCCTGCAGAATTCTCTGGTTGATGGTGAGGTAACAGGTTGATGTCACAGAGGTTAACATTATCAGTCCTTAGGCTCCAGTAGGTCTGCAGGCTAGTGCTCATGGTCATCAAGTACTGAGTTTCTTCCATTTGGTGGGGGATTTAGCATCCGTAAAACAACTCAGGAACTGTGCGTCAGATACTATCATCTAAGCACCATCTAAGCACTTCAGAGGAGCTAAAGCAGAGGTTATGGGGGAGGGGCCTGTCAGGGGAAGGACCCATAGGGGCCTGCTTGGTTACATATCTAGAAAATCCCAAATTATCTGGAAATTAAGTAACTTATTTCTAAATAATCCTTCATCAAAGACGAAATTACAATAGAAATTAAAAATGTTTTGAAAGTAACAGTAATGAAAATACAGCATATCAAAATTTGTGAAATGCAGCTATAGTAGCTCTTAGATGGAAATTTGATGAATTAAGTATCTACATCAACAAGCTACAAAAAAGAGAAGGTAGAAAGAAATAAAATCAGAAATTAATGAAATAGAAAACAGATATAAAACAGAGAAAGTCAGGACTTCCCTGGTGGTCCAGCAGTTAAGACTCAGTGCTCTCAATGCAGGGGGCCTGGGTTTGATTCCTGGTCAGGGAACTAGATCCCGTGTGCTGCAACTAAGACCTGGTGCAGCCAAATAAATAAATAAATATTTTTTTTAAAAAACAAAAATCAGAGAAAGTCAATGAAGCCAAAAGACGGTTCTTTAAAAAGATTAATAAAATTGACAGAATTGTTCAAGGAAAAGAGTGAGAGAGAAAACAGATATACCTAATATCAAGAATGACAGAGGCAACATCACCATAGATGCTACACACATTAAAAAAATAAAATGAGGATTCATAAATAACTTTATGTCAATAAAAACACAACTTACAGAAATTTTGAATAATCCTGTATCTTTTAATGAAATTAAATCCATAATTTATAACATTCCAACAACAAAAACACCAGATCCAGATGGCTACCCTGGTAAATGCTACCAAACTATTAGAGGAAAATATTAACAATTGTACACAAAATCTTTCAGAGAGGCCAGCATAACCTTGATACCAAAATCCATCAAGGGCATTACAAGAAAAAAAAATTACAGAGTAATATCCCTTAAAAATACAGATGGAAAAAAAAATTCCTAATGAAACACTAACAATCAAATACAATATTATGTAAGAACTATACACATCATGGTCTTGTGAGTTTATTCCAAAAAGACATAGCTGGCTTAACACTTAAAAAGTCATACAATATAATTTTAACAATGTGATCATCTTAAAAGATACAGAAACAACATTTTATAAGATTCAAAACCCATATTAAAAACTATTTCATAATAAAAACTATTAGTTGGCTAAGAACAGAGAGAAATTTCCTCAATTTGATAAGATTATTTACCTAAAACATACAAATAATATCACACTTGATGGTGAAATAGTGAATGCTTCACCCTAACAAGACAAAGGTATCTGTTATCACCACTTCTATTCAACATTGTATTGGAGTTCCTGTCAGTATAATAAGAAGAGAAAAAAATTTTTTTAAATTGCAAAGGAAATAGAACAATCTTTATTCATAAATGACACAATTGTATACATAGAATATCCAAGGAACCTATAAACTACTAGAAGTAATAGGTGAATTAAGCAAGGCCATGTGATACAAAGTCAATATACAAATATCAGCTGTATTTCTTTATACTTGCAGCAAACAATTGAAATATGAAAATGTAAAAATAATACCATTTAGAATTGGATTTAAAAAATAATAAAGTACACAGGACTAAATAAAATGCATAGCGTTCTACAGTGAAAATTTTAAGACAGGAGAAATCAAAGAAGACCTAATGAAAGAAGAAAGAGCCTATTTCACAGAGGAAGATTTAATTGTTACAATGTCACTTCTTTCCAGTTGGTCTATACATTCAATGCAATCCTAATCAAAATCCCAGCAGACTTTTTTTTGTAGAAATTAATAGGCTAATTTAAAAATTTAAATGTAATTGCAAAGAAACCTAGAATCATCAAAATCATCTTTAAAATAAGCATAAAGATGGAGGATTTATACTACCAATTTTCAAATTTTACTCTCAAGGTAAGTAATTAATACACTGTGGTATAGGCATAAGGATAAACAAATAGATCAGTGGAACAGAATAGAGTCCAGATATAGGCTCACACATATATTGTTACTTGACCAATGAAAAACACACCAATGCAATTCTAGCGGAAAGAAAGGTCTTAGAATAAATGGTGTTGGAAGAACACAGCATTCAAATAGAAAAAAAAAAACCTTGACTCTTACACTCATACCATTCACAAAAAATTAATTTTAAATGGATTGCAGATCTACATGTGAAATCTAAAATATAAATCTTCTAGCTGGAAACACAGGAGACTATATGAGCTCAGAGTAGGCAAAGATTTCTTAAATAAGAGCAAAAGGTATTAACCATAAAGGAAAAAATGATAAAGTAGATTTCATCCAAATTTAAAACTTCTGCTCATCAAAAAACACCATTAAGAAAGTGATCAGTTAAGTCACAGACTGGGAGAAAATATTTGAAATACATATATTTGCAAAGGATTTGTAACCGGACTGTACAAGAACTCTTACAACTTAATAATAAAACCACTCAGCTTTTAAAAATCAGGCAAGGAGTTGTTCCTGTATCTCGGGGCCCTGGCAATGGCGGGCTGCACAGGCTCTCTGGAAGCGGGGTGTGGATAGTGACCTGTGCTCGCACACGGGCTTCTTGGTGGCGGCAGCAGCGGCCTTAGCGTCTCATGCCCGGCTCTGTGGTCCGCGCTTTTAGCCGCGGCTCGCGCCCGTCTCTGGAGCTCCTTTAAGCAGCGCTCTTAATCCCGTCTCCTCGCGCACCAGGAAACAAAGAGGGAAGACAAAGTCTCTTGCCTTTTCGGCAGCTCCAGACTTTTCCCCGGACTCCCTCCCGGCCGGTGCTCCGACTGAAGCCCGAGCCTCAACTCCCAGCCCCGCCCGCCCTGGCGGGTGAGCCGACAAGCCTCTCGGTCTGGGCCACTTTCATTCCCAACACAACACGAGTCAGAGGTATCCGGAATGGGCCCCACGCAGAGGCAGAAAGAGTTTGACACAGTCTGTGCCACCGGGAAGGAGACCAGACGGTCACTGGACTGAGTGCACCGGAGGGAGGACAGGAGGGCATGGCCTTTACCCTTGAGGAAAGGCTGCAGCTTGGGATCCATGGCCTAATACCCCCCTGCTTCCTGAGCCAGGACGTCCAGCTCCTCCGGATTATGAGATACTACGAGCGGCAGCAGAGTGACCTGGACAAGTACATCATCCTCATGACGCTCCAAGACCGGAACGAGAAGCTCTTCTACCGAGTGCTGACGTCGGACGTGGAGAAATTCATGCCTATCGTGTACACGCCCACCGTGGGGCTGGCCTGTCAGCACTACGGCCTGACCTTCCGCAGGCCCCGTGGGCTGTTTATCACCATTCATGACAAGGGCCATCTTGCAACAATGCTGAACTCTTGGCCAGAAGATAATATTAAGGAGCTGCTCAGGGACCCTCTGTACATTGGCCTGAAGCACCGGCGCGTGCGTGGGCAGGAGTACGACGACCTTCTGGACGAGTTCATGCAGGCCGTGACGGACAAGTTTGGAATAAACTGCCTCATCCAGTTTGAAGACTTTGCCAATGCCAATGCCTTCCGCCTTCTCAACAAATACCGCAACAAGTACTGCATGTTCAACGATGACATCCAAGGCACAGCCTCCGTCGCCGTGGCAGGGATCCTGGCTGCTCTGCGAATCACCAAGAACAAGCTCTCCAATCACGTGTTTGTTTTCCAAGGTGCTGGTGAAGCAGCCATGGGCATCGCCCACCTCCTTGTCATGGCCCTAGAGAAAGAAGGCGTACCCAAGGCAGAGGCCACAAGGAAGATCTGGATGGTGGACTCCAAGGGGCTCATTGTCAAGGGGAGGAGCCACCTGAACCATGAGAAGGAGATGTTTGCCCAGGACCACCCTGAAGTGAACTCCCTGGAGGAGGTGGTGAGGCTGGTGAAGCCCACGGCCATCATAGGTGTTGCCGCCATCGCAGGAGCCTTCACGGAGCAGATCCTGAGGGACATGGCCTCCTTCCACGAGCGCCCCATCATCTTTGCCCTGAGCAACCCCACCAGCAAGGCCGAGTGCACGGCTGAGAAGTGCTACCGGGTCACCGAGCAAATCGCCCAAGAGGTCTCTGAGCAGCATCTGTCACAGGGGAGACTGTACCCCCCACTCAGCACCATCCGAGACGTGTCTCTGAGAATCGCCATCAAAGTCCTCGACTTCGCCTACAAACACAACCTGGCCTCCTACTACCCAGAGCCCAAGGACAAGGAGGCTTTTGTAAGATCCCTGGTCTATACTCCAGACTATGACTCCTTTACGCTGGACAGCTACACTTGGCCCAAGGAAGCCATGAATGTTCAGAATGTCTGATGCAATCTCAGAGGCTGGTGTGGGGCTGAATGAAGCCCAGAGTAACACTGACAATATAAATGGGTTCCAAAATGGCAAAAAAAAAAAAAAAAAAAAATCAGGCAAAACATTTTCACAAACACTTTGCGAAGCAGATGTACAAATGGCCAAGAAATTAAATAGAAAGAGGTTCAACATCATCAGTCATCAGGGAAATTCAAGTTAAAAACACCGTGAGATAACACCACACACCTACAAGAATGGCTAACAGTACCAAGTGTTGAGAGGCTATGGAGCTACAGGAATTTATATATATAACTGGTGATTTTATAAAATGGCACAACCTCTGGCAGTTTCAACTAAAGTTAAACATATACCTACCCTATGACCCAGCAATTCTACTCTTAGGCACAAAAGAAAAATGAGAGCAGATGTCCAAAAAAAGACTTGTTCAAGAATAAAACATCTTCTTCATAACACCAAAAAGTGGAAATAACCCAAATGTTCATCAATAGGAGAATGGATAAACAAATTATATATTCATATAATTAAAAAGAGCAGCCTACTGATCATGTAACTACTTGGATAAATCTTAAAAATACTATATTGTATAGTGAGTCCAAGCACGGAGAGTACGTACTATATAATTCTATTTATATGAAGTTTGAGAACAAATAAAATCATCAAATGTTAACTAGATTTATTGTGGTGGTCATCTCACAATACATGAACAGCGTATTCATATATACAAGCGTTATACACCTGAAACTAATATGTTACATGTCAATTATATCTCAGTAATAAAAAACAAAAACAAAGGAATCTATGGTGATAGAAATAAAAACAATGTTTACCTCTGGAGGTGGATATTGGCTGGTAAAGTGCACAAGAAAACTCTCTGTATGACACCTCTGCTCCACATCCATCATTACAGTCATTCTACCTCTGAACCATACCTAGAATCATCTTCTTCTCATGATCTCCCCTGTCCTCACCCTAGGACAAGTCTCAACTATCTCTGATGTGCAGGCCACAAGAAGGACCCTGTGCCTGAAGAGTGAATGGGAGGACAAGAGCCCCCAGAGACTCATCAGATATGAGTGCTGTTCTTCTTAATGTGAATGAGCCATTACCACAAAACTTCCATTCCTACTGATCCAGAATTTTAACTGATTTTCTTTTGTGCTTCAATTGCTTTTTACATTTCCAGTGCATTAACCATGGAAAATGACATTGTTCCTATGGGAATATGTATTCTGATTTTCAGTAATTGATTAAAATTGATTAAACTTTTTAGAACCCAGTCATTTCTTCATTGGAGATTTTCCTCTTGTTTTTTATGGTATTTTTAAGTATCTTTAAATCTTTTTAATGGGTTTATATTCTGTATTTCCAATCTTTTTGAAATTCACGAAGGGCAGGGTCTTCCATTGCTTGTTTTTGTACCTTAGGCCAGGGGTCCCCAACCCCCAGGCCAGGAACCGATACTGCTCCGTGGCCTGTTAGGAACCGGGCTGCACAGGAGGAGGTGAGCAGTGGGTGAGCGAATGAAGCTTCATTTGTATTTACAGCTGCTCCCCATTGCTCACATTACCACTTGAGCTCTGCCTCCTGTCAGATCAGTGGCAGCATTAGGTTCTCATAGGAGTGGGAACCCTACTGTGAACTACACGTGTGAGGGATGTAGGCTGCGTGCTCCTTATGAGAATCTACTGCCTCATGATCTGAGGTGGAGCTGGGGTGGTGATGCTAGCACTGGGGAGCGGCTGCAAATACAGATTATCATTAGCAGAGAGGTTTGACTGCACAGAGACCATAATAAATCAATTGCTTGCACACTCATATCAAAACCCTATCAGTGAGGGGTGAATGACAATTAAGCTGCATCTGGAGGCAGGCTTTATAGTGGCAAGTGAGTTGATGTACTTCAATTGTACAGCCGCATCTGGTGGCAGGCTTCAAGTCAGAATCCGACACATTTTAGTCCACATGTGGCCCACACATTATTTTATTTACCACTTCCATTTGCACCTCTTTCCTGCACTGCGCACTTGTCTCAGTCACAGTTTTGGTAAGCCACAGCTAACCCTAGCCAAAAGGAGTAAAAAACAAACATTGCTGGAGAGCGTCTTTGAAAGGGGGAAAGACCAATGATGAGAGAGCAGAATACTCTAAGACTGCCAACAAAAAGACAGCTGCATTTAAAAGAAAATACCAAGTCCTACTTAAACTATAGTTTCATTGCAACAGGTGATTCACATTCTCCAAGCCCACTTTGTATAATTATGTGGTGACTGGCTATCCAACGAAACCATGAAACCTTCAAAACTGCTTCACCACATGGAGACCAAGCACCCTGCATTAAAAGACAAGCCTTTAGAGTTTTTCAAAAGAAAAAAAACCATGAACACGAAGAACAGAAGCAATTATTGAAGGCCACCACTTCATCAAAAGTGTCTGCACTAAGAGCATCATTCTTAGTGGCTAACTGCATTGCTAAAGCTAAGAAGCCCTTTACTGTTGGTGAAGAGTTGATCCTGCCTGCTGCTAAGGATATTTGTCGTAAACCTTTGGGAGAGGCTGCAGTTCAAAAGGTGGCACAGGGGGGCTTCCCTGGTGGCGCAGTGGTTGACAGTCCGCCTGCCAGTGCAGGGGACATGGGTTTGTACCCCGGCCTGGGAGGATCCCACATGCCACGGAGCGGCTAGGCCCGTGAGCCACGGCCGCTGGACCTGCGTGTCCGGAGCCTGTGCTGCGCAACGGGAGAGGCCACAGCAGTGAGAGTCCCGCGTACGGCAAAAAAAAAAAAAAAAAAAAAAAAAAGGTGGCACAGGGAGGCTTCTGGGAAGATGATGGAAGAGTAAGATGCAGAGATCACCTGCCTCCCCACAGATACAGCAGAAATACGTCTACACGTGGAACAACTCCTACAGAACACCTACTGAATGCTGGCAGAAGACCTCAGACCTCCCAAAAGGCAAGAAAGTCCCCACGTACCTGGATAGGGCAAAAGAAAAAGGAATAAACAGAGACAAAAGGATAGGGACGGGACCTGCACCAGTGGGAGGGAGCTGTGAAGGAGGAAAGGTTTCCACACACTAGGAAGCCCTTTCGAGGGCAAAGACTGCGGGTGGTGGAGGAAGGGAGCTTCGGATCCACGGAGGAGAGCACAGCAACAGGGGTGCGGAGGGCAAAGCGGAGAGATTCCTGCACAGAGGATCAGTGCCGACCAGCACTCACCAGGCCGAGAGGCTTGTCTGCTCACCCGCCGGGGCGGGCGGGGTTAGGAGCTGAGGCTCCGGCTTCCAACGGAGCACAGGGAGAGGACTAGGGTTGACAGCGTGAACACAGCCTGCAGGGGGTTAGTGCACCACGGCTAGCCGGGAGGGAGTCCAGGGAAAAGTCTGGACCTGCCGAAGAGGCAAGAGACTTTTTCTTCCCTCTTTGATTCCTGGTGCGCAAGGAGACGGGATTAAGAGTGCTGCTTAAAGGAGTTCCAGAGACGGGCGCGAGCCGCGGCTAAAAGTGCGGACCCCAGAGACGGGCATGGGACGCTAAGGCTGCTGCTGCCGCCACCAAGAAGCCTGTGTGCGAGCACAGGCCACTATCCACACCCCCTTCCAGGGAGCCTGTGCAGCCCACCACTGCCAGGGTCCAGGGATCCAGGGACCACTCCGTGGGAAGAACGCACGGCACGCCTCAGGCTGGTGCAACGTCACGACTGACTCTGCCACCGCAGGCTAGCCCCGCACTGCGTGCCCCTCAGTCCCCACCCCACCCCACCCCACCCCCTGCCCCGGCCTGAGTGAGCCAGAGCCACCGCATCAGCGGCTCCTTTAACCCCGTCCTGTCTGAGTGAAGAACAGACGCCCTCCAGCGACCTACACGCAGAGGCAGGGCCAAATCCAAAGTTGAGCCCCTGTGAGCTGTGAGAACAAAGAAGAGAAAGGGAAAGCTCTCCCAGCAGCCTCAGGAGCAGCAGGATTAAAGCTCCACAGTCAACTTGATGTACCCTGCATCTGTGGAATACATGAATAGACAACAAATCATCCCAAATTGAGGAGGTGGACTTTGAGAGCAAGATTTATGATTTTTTTCCCCTTTTCCTCTTTTTGTGAGTGTGTATGTGTATGCTCCTGTATGAGATTTTGTCTGTATAGCTTTGCTTCCACCGTGTGCCCTAGGGTTCTATCTGTCCGTTTTTTTGTTTGTTTGTTTCTGTTTTTGTTTAAATTTTTTTCTTTTTTTTCTTAATAATTATTTTTTATTTTAATAACTTTATTATATTTTATCTTACTTTATTTTATTTTACTTTATCTTCTTTCTTTCTTTTTTCCTTCCTTCCCTCCTTTCTTCCTTCCTTACTTCCTCCCTCCCTCCCTCCCTCCCTCTCTCCCTCCTTTCTTTCTTCTTTCTTTCTTTTTTTCTTTCTACTTCTACTAATTCTTTCTTTCTACTTTTTCTCCCTTTTATTCTGAGCCGTGTGGATGAAAGGCTCTTGGTGCTACAGCCAGGAGTCAGTGCTGTGCCTCTGAGGTGGGAGAGCCAACTTCAGGACACTGGTCCACAAGAGACCTCCCAGCTCCACATAATATCAAACGGTGAAAATCTCCCAGAGATCTCCATCTCAACACCAGCACCCAGCTTCACTTAACGACCAGCAAGCTACAGTGCTGGACATCCTATGCCAAACAACTAGCAACACAGGAACACAACCCCACACATTAGCAGACAGGCTGCCTAAAATCATAATAAGGCCACAGACACCCAAAAACACACCACCAGACTTGGACCTCTCCACCAGAAAGACAAGATCCAGCCTCATCCACCAGAACACAGGCACTAGTCCCCTCCACCAAGAAGCCTACACAACCCACTGAACCAACCTTAGCCACTGGGGACAGACACCAAAAACAACGGGAACTACGAACCTGCAGCCTGCAAAAAGGAGACCCCAAGCACAGTAAGATAAGCAAAATGAGAAGACAGAAAAACACACAGCAGATGAAGGAGCAAGATAAAAACCCACCAGACCTAACAAATGAAGAGGAAATAGGCAGTCTACCTGAAAAAGAATTCAGAATAATGATAGTAAAGATGATCCAAAATCTTGGAAATAGAATAGACAAAATGCAAGAAACATTTAACAAGGAACTACAAGAACTAAAGATGAAACAAACAATGATGAACAACACAATAAATGAAATTAAAAATACTCTAGATGGGATCAATAGCAGAATAACTGAGGCAGAAGAACGGATAAGTGGCCTGGAAGATAAAATAGTGGAAATACCTATTGCAGAGCAGAATAAAGAAAAAAGAATGAAAAGAACTGAGGACAGTCTCAGAGACCTCTGGGACAACATTGAATGCACCAACATTCAAATTATAGGGGTTCCAGAAGAAGAAGAGAAAAAGAAAGGGACTGAGAAAATATTTGAAGAGATTATAGTTGAAAACTTCCCTAATATGGGAAAGGAAATAGTTAATCAAGTCCAGGAAGCACAGAGAGTCCCATGCAGGATAAATCCAAGGAGAAATACGCCAAGACACATATTAATCAAACTGTCAAACTGTCACATATTAATGAAACTGCCAAAAAATAAATACAAAAAAAACATATTAAAAGCAGCAAGGGAAAAACAACAAATAAAACACAAGGGAATCCCCATAAGGTTAACAGCTGATCTTTCAGCAGAAACTCTGCAAGCCAGAAGGGACTGGCAGAACATATTTAAAGTGATGAAGGAGAAAAACCTGCAACCAAGATTACTCTACCCAGCAAGGATCTCATTCAGATTTGATGGAGAAATTAAAACCTTTACAGACAAGCAAAAGCTGACAGAGTTCAGCATCACCAAACCAGCTCTACAACAACTGCTAAATGAACTTCTCTAGGCAAGAAATACAAGAGAAGGAAAAGACCTACAATAATGAACCCAAAACAATTAAGAAAATGGGAATAGGAACATACATATTGATAGTTACCTTAAAAGTAAATGGACTAAATGCTCCCACCAAAAGACACAGATTGGCTGAATGGATATAAAAACAAAACCCATATATTTGCTGTCTACAAGAGACCCACTTCAGACCAAGGGACACATACAGACTGAAAGTAAGGGGATGGAAAAAGATATTTCATGCAAATGGAAATCAAAAGAAAGCTGGAGTAGCAATTCTCAGATCAGACAAAATAGACTTTAAAATAAAGACTATTACAAGAGACAAAGAAGGACACTACGTAATGATCAAGGGATTGATCCAAGAAGAAGATATAACAATTGTAAATATTTATGCACC